AGCAGGAAGAACTGGCTTTGAGGAGTGTTCTTCACATAATACACATTTTGTATCAAGGTTATTTTTTAATCTTGCCCTTCGTTTCTCTTAACTTAGACATCAAGCTTCTGTCCCAAGCTACGTCACAACAGCTGAAGTACAATATGATTTATATTGCATGACTTCTTGAAGTAAACAATGCTGCATGGAAACATTAATGATGGGAGGGTTATGTTCCTTTGAAATGACCCAGCTATATGTAACATGGGTTGAAGTGAGGATATTAAAGTATTTTATTTATTTTTCAGTGATAGTATGCTGCTCTTCAACATTTAAAAATGTCTTGCATTTTATGATTTCACCTTTGCTTCCTGCATTACTTACTTTATCCTTGTTATGCCACTGACTTCAAAGAGATTTCTGAGCATGTTGAAAAGGCAGAGTCTCTTTAAGTTAATTTTGACAGTATAGTTCATTTGAACACCAAAGCAAGGAGAGATTTTTGTTCTGTCAAAAACACAGAGGTGAATAGTCTGTCAGTAAAAAGAGTTTAATGAGCTGTGGGGCTTTTTTTTTGTGATAAAAATATTTAATTACTATTACAAGAATAAATGCTTGAACTTTATCTTCTGGTCTCTGAGTCTTAATAGTTTGTGTGACTGGGAAAAGGAAAGAACATGAGTTGTGTTAATTGCAAATTCTGTGAGGAGAAAACTCCCCTAGGTGTACTTGTGTGTGTTTAAGTGTGTTTGAAATTTGCAGTGTAGGTAAAATCAAGCAGTGTGGTGGGAAGGAGTTAGGGAAATTCATAGAATCATAGAATCAACCGGCTTGGGAAATACCTCCAAGAGCATCAAGTGCAGCCCTACTCTGGATACTAGGCCATGGCACTAAGTGCCACATCCAGTCTCGTCTTGAAAACCTCCAGGGACAGTGAATCCACCACCTCCCTGGGCAGCACATTCCAATGCCTGAGATCACTCTCTCCATAAAAAAACGTATCTCTTCCTAATATCCAACCTAACCCTCCCCTGGCAGAGCTTGAGTCTGTGCCCTCTTGTCCTCCTGCTGGCTGCTTGGGAGAAGAGACCAACCCCCACCTGACTCCAACCTCCTGTCAGGGAGTTGCAGAGGGTGAGAAGGTCTCCCCTGAGGCTCCTCTTCTCCAGAAATTACTTCTGTCTGTCCTTCGTCCAGTATTTGCACATTAGATTCCCTTGGTTGTGCTTGAGAGCTGCATCAACAACCCTGGAGTTCTGAGAAAAGGCATCCTGGTGTTCTCTCAGAGGTAACTAATGCTTCCCTGGAGTGACACCTTCCCTCCATGAGTTAGGGGATGTTGCTGCTGCCAGCAAGGACATGTTCCTTTTCTTGCTGTTTTGTGGCTCCTTTTGTGTTTTCACGGTGTCACTATGAGAATGAATATTTTGATGGAAGGAAATGACATTGAATCAAACTCAAGTTTGATTGTATGGAAAAACTGAGTGCAGACATTGCATGGAAAGGGACTGTTCATTGTCCACATTGCACAAACATGGTTCAGGTCAAGACTGATTACCTGAGAGCTCTCATATTGCCTGCATTTAGAATCAGAATCAAGCAGGTTGGAAAACACCTCAAAGATCATTGAGTCCAACCCTACTGTGGTTACTGGACCATGGCACTAAGTGCCACATCCAGTCTCATCTTGAAAACCTCCAGGGACAGTGAATCCACCACCTCCCTGGGCAGCCCATTCTAATGCCTCAGTTACTACTTCCCTTGGGCACAGTGAGGTGAGATGGAAACAAAATACAGCCAAATTCAAGGCCAGACAGAAAAGCCAGAGGAGGCAAGTGCAGAAGAGAGGATGGTTGTGTTTCCTGCTGTGCTTCCTTCCTTCTCTTACAAGGAAGTATACTAGCAAAAATAGTCCCCTCAGTCTAAAAATAGAGGTTTGACACATGTTCTGTTTTATGCTTGGCTGTTGCAGTTGTAACAGTCAAAATGAAAGCACAGACCTGGAGTGCAAGGAAATGTAGGATATTTGCTGGGTTAGCAGCTCTGTGTGTTTGGGGCCATTTCAAAGTGTGTGAAGGAGAATAAAAAAAGGCAGTTAAACAGCAGGATAGGGAAAATCATCATCCACTTGCCCTAGAGAGGTATGTCTTTGCTTCTGGGGAGCTGAGTTGAGATTCAGTTTTGCATTTAGCACTCCTAGTTGGTACTGCTTAGATACAGCCAGAGGTTGGTAACTCTGTGAGCTGTAAAGGTTGCACTGAAAAAAAAGCTGTGCTCTTTGGGTTTTTCATCTGTAACAAGATTTTATTCCCCATAATGTTGGGAGCTGGGTTTTTTTTTCACAGCAAGTGTAAATAGAAATGTGTATAATAACTGACTAATGCCAAATTCAGTCTTTAATCCTGGTCATGAGGACCACTCGTCACAAGCTGCTGGTCATCTGAATCCTGTAAAATGTAACAAAAAGAGAATCAGACTTGAACATTGCATTAAGAAGCAAAAGGAACCTTTTGGCAGCTTTGTCCATGCAGATGGCAGAGTTGGCCCCGGACATTTTTTCCCCAAACAAGTCTTTTTACTGGATGCAAAAAAAAAAAAAAAAAGGGTGTATTTTGATTTTAGACTCTGCATTTTTATGAGGTGCTGCTCAGTTGGACCATGGAAGCTATTCAGATACTCTGGCTTTACTCAATCTCTCCTTCCCTTGGTTCCCAGCACTCTCCCCATTGTGTTTCAAATTCTTTCTAGTGCTAGCATGGCACTCAGCTGTATTTGCAGCGGGAAGACATGAAGAGACACAATTAGAAGGTTTTAAAAGTGTTTATAGTCATGTCACTGTCCATCCAGCAGCATTTCAAGTCCAGTTCAATTCAGCTGCCTTTGAAGATGGACTTGGACACAACTGTAGACCTCAGTCTCAGTTTTGCTGTGAGACAACCCAATTTCAAGCAGTGGTGAGACAGGAAAGTCAGGAACTTAAATGTTGTTTTCTTGACTTAATTTTTTTCAGACTAGGCATTTTCCTTTCATTAAGTCATTCCCTCTTACCATTATATTAGTAGTTTCTCAATCTCCAACCAAAAGGAACACTTACTGAGAAAAGGTCATAAGTAGCTTCTGGTGGAGTCAGTGCAGAAGAACTTTCATACGAGGGGTTGGTGATATTTGAAGGCTGTGAATTGTCCAGTGATGTTGTGTTATGGTCATCTTTTGACTATGCAAAAACACACAAACCCACTTAAAATTCATCCTCTTCTTCCAGTGCATTAAGTGGAGCATTTAAGCTTCACTACCAACTGGTGCAGTGCTGAGACTGAACTGGTTTTATCATCTGAATAAACATCTACAGGCACAACCTGTGTTTTGGGTTATATTATCTCCGGGCACTTAACACTGGTATCTTTTTTCCCTTCTCTTCTTAAAGAATGGGAGAGAAAGTGCAGCCCTGACATCGTTCCTGGGGTAAAAAGTACTTGCTTGGTCCTGAGCTCTGTCATGGCAACAGCGTAAAAATCATAACTGGATTGGAAATCCAGTTATGATTTATGTCTTTTCCAATCACAAGTGGATTGAAAAAGACCTCCAAGATCATCAAGTCCAACCCTACTGTGGTTACTAGACCATGGCATTAAGTGCCACATCTAGTCTCATCTTCAAAACCTCCAGGGACAGTAAATCCACCACCTCCCTGGGCAGCACATTCCAATGTCTGACTACTCTCTCTGTAAAAAAATTTAAAAAATGTCTTCCTAATACCCAACCTAAATCTCCCCTGGCAGAGCTTGAGTCTGTGCCCTCTTGTCCTCCTGCTGGTTGCCTGGGAGAAGAGACCAACCCCCACCTGACTCCATAAGGTCTCCCCTGAGCCTCCTCTTCTCCAGGCTAAACAATCCCAGCTCCCTCAGCCTCTCCTCATAACACTTGTGCTCGAGTCCCTTCCCTGCACCCATTACTCTTCTCTGGACCCACTCCAGCACTTCTCTTGGCTCTTGGATTCTGTGTTTTGTTTCTAGAAGATGATTCACATTACATGCAGGGGCTAGAACAGGAAGGGATTTGTTTACTTCTAGGTAGACTTCCATTTGGATTGGTTCTTGTGTATTTTCTAACATGATTTTGGTCATTCCCTGTCTCTGAGTAGTTTGGTTGTTGCTGGTTGGTTCCTTCCCAATGTGATGCTATGTGGTGCTAGCTAAGTTAGTGAAGAGAAACCAAGCAAGTCAAGGGAAAACAGGACTGCGATCCTGAAGTAATTTCAATTTGTTTGTCTTTTGAATCCAGACTTTTTCCTATCAAACCTTTCAGCCTCCAGAGCAACAAAATTATTAGCAATGCCATGGAGGAGAACCACTTCAGTGGTTACAATTACCTGCTGCCTCAAGGGTGAGCTTTCAGGTGAGAAAGACTTCTGTGCTAGTGTGGCATAGTTAGATAAGCTTTTGGCCAGTCCTTGGTATTGGGAGTGTCTGTATGTGCAGGAGCCCATCAGGCACCCTGGGTAGAGAGGTCTGAGGGCAAAGGTAAGCTCATGCCCAAGACAAATGTGTCAATCTTTCTTGCTTTCTCTGTGGTTTAGTCTGAACAGCTCTAGTGGGAAGGGACCAGGAATGTTCCTGGGTTGTGAGTTTGGGAGGTGCAGTGGGTCTGGAGAAGTGTTGCCCCTGCTGCTTTATGTTCCTGTCTGCCACCTACCTTGAAGTGCTGGAAGCCAGTGTTTCTCTTCCTGAACCTGAGGTAAGAATATCCAATAAGAGCCACAATTCCAATAACTAGACATATGCCAAAGAATATTCCTGTCCCAGTGCTGGTGTGGAGAGGAGCCTGGAAGCAAATGAGAGGGTGAATGAACTATAGATGGGCACTGGGCACTTTCCAGCACCCAAGAACATGCAGTGTCCCTTTGAAGAATGCCTAAGAGAACTTTTCTGGTCAGGTTTTCCAAAGTAGCAACAGGGGCTACAATGAGGCTGAGACGTCCTTGGCCTGAGGAGGAGAAATGGGTAACAAATTTGCTGGAGCAAATTTGTAAACCCATCCAAACTCTAAAGGGCTCTGGAGGGGTTCAGGCTTATTCTCCACTGCTTTGTGCACTGGCAAGGTGTTGGTTATTGCCAGCCATGCCATCCTTAGAGCCCTGCTTATCAAGGCTCAAATCAAACTGCATGTGAGACCTAGAACCATCCCATCCCAGGTCAGAGAGACTGTAGGCTGTGAGAGGGTTGTGGGGCTGAGCTCAGGTCTGCCAGTAGCCCAAGATATGCTTTCTGTAGGTCTTTTTGCCCCAACACATGCAATGCCTTTATCCTGTAATCATTCTTCAGTCAACCAAGTAAAATACCAATCCATGAGACCATATGACTTCTATAAATATGTAGGAATGAAAATTCACACATGAACTAGCTTTAATCTAAAGGGGAGAAATACTTCTAGACTCTGACTTTGGTTTGTCTTCTGCAGTTCTGTGGCCTGACATGGGGTGTCAGGAAGGTGAGTGAGAGTTTGGGGCCATGATAAACTTTAGTGATCCCCAGGCCTGCAGCCACTCAGGGCTGAAGTCTCCCCAGAGCACTGTGCTCTTTGCTGACATCCCAGGGGGTAAGGATGGTCTAGAAATGGGTAGTTTGTTATTGCTTTTCCACATGATGCCTTAGCACCTCCTGCCTAGGAAAAAAATTCCTAAACTTACCCTGAGAAAAGTAATCACATTGTTGTCTTAATAGATAAGCTCTCTTCACTTATATTTCTAGAAAACAAAGTCATTTATGTGGTGCAGCTGAACAGATAAATATTAGAAGACATAGTTGTCCTCCAGGATGTGAAAGGTATTACAAGGACTGTAATATGCTGCTGTAGGAATGACAGAAATTGCCTCTTATTTTGAACCATTTTCAGGCAGTTATTTATGATTTTATCCAAGTGTGTCATTTCCTACTCCTGAGGATTGTAGGCTGCAAGAAGTTCTTGAGAACAGGTGCAGGTGTTACTGTGCTCCTAGGTGGTTTGTAAAGGAGAAAGTGTTTCTTAAAGCAAAATGAAGGGGAGAAATAGGGTATCAATGGGATTAACCTTGTGGCCCAAGGAGGTGCTGTATAACTGGGACCTCTACAGGAATTCATGCAGGCAAAAATTACCTATTTTCCACACCCCCTTGTTGCTTTGGATAGGAATGAACACTAAGGCAAGGGTAAACAATGTTCCTCAGAAGCTTGAATGATCTTCTTGGAATGAAGCTTTATTACACACATGGGCTCCATTTGGAATATGCTTCACTGGCACCTTGTTTTCAACTTCTAATTCACTTTGAAAGTAACCTTATAGGCCAGAAACTGCATGTATGGCAGGGAAACTGGGAATATATAGGTGTCATCAATGGGTTTAGCATGATATAAGCCATAGCCACCTTCCACCATCCCAAAAAAATAAGTCACTGTGTACTTACAGGTGCTGGTGGAGCCTTTAAAGGCTCTGAAATGATGTGGATTATCCCGTTGGAAGCAATTATATCCCATTCAACAATAGCACTTCTGTCCACATACCGGATCTCGCTCTGGCAGGAAAGAGAAGAATGAGAGCTGAGCTTTGAACCTGCTCCCTTTGGGACTGAAATCAACAGTGAGACTATTTCCCCACCTCAGTTACACAGAGGAAAACACATGGGGACTTACACTGCTGCCTCCTTGGGCATCAGCCTGGGATGGTCCCAGGCTGGTTGTGGTTCTCCTGGTGCATGACATAGCCATCACCATCACTTGCATGTTGCCTTCAGGCATTGCTCTGGCCGTTGTTTTTGCTTTCTTTTTTCTTTTTCAGTCAAGATTTTTGTAATGTTTATGGAATTGCCAAGTCATACCTAGGAGTGCTGTGACTCCTGGGTGCCAGGCATCTGCTTTCTGTGCTCAGGGTGCCACTGGGACAGTTAGCTGGGTCAGCACTGATGAGCAGTCACTGCCCAAAATTTATTTGATGGGACTATGTGGCAGCTTACAGGAAAGGACAGAGGATAGGATCAGTCACTGCCACCTCACACATCTCTAAACTCTGCTGATAATGGGGAGTCTTTGACTGCTTCAGGCTGGTCCTGAGTCTCCCCAGCGCATGTTTGTGTTTTGGGATAGTAGGTTCATGGGCATCTGCACTACTGCAAACTCTGCTTTCAACTGCATTCTAGCAAAGTGGTTTCTCCTTGGTGAGCAGAACCAGGAGCTGCTGCCTGCTCTTGCCACTGGCTTGAGGAGGTTTGCTGCTGCTGGAGTATATAGCCACTTGCTGTGGCCAAGGAGCAAGGGGCTTGGTGTAGTGGCAGTGAAGAGCAATGTGGGAGTCACCTTGAGTTCTCTTACTTCTCCCTCACCCTGTGCTGCCCTGCCAGAGTCCTGGGAAAAGCTTGGGGGCTCCAACTGGGTGTGCTGGGACAGGTGTGTGCTTAGACAGGGTGGGAGCATGTGTGGAGAGAGGATCCCACCCTCTGTTCCACCCTGGTACCCTGCTGAGCTTTACTGCAGCTGGATGAACTGAGGACTTGCCCAGGTTCTCCAGGGACGAGGATCATCAACAAATGTCTAACCAGCTGTGAAGGGCAGAAACAAGATGTGTGTTATTTGGCTCAGAGCCTCTTCTTGGCAGCTTTTGAAGCAAGGAGGTGTTTTTTTTTGTTTTTTTTTTTCCAAGGAAAATGTCTTCTAACTCAACAAAGCAAAGTGATGCAAAAGAGCTCCTAGCATGCTAATGAGTGATACAGGTAAGCCTTGCACTGGTGCACCTGATCTTTCTGAAGGATACACTTTCTTAATGTGATTACTGGGTTTGCAGTATAAGGTGGCTTTAAACATATCAGTGGTAATTCTTATGCCAAACGGGTTTCTGAAAGAAGAGGAAGTGGCAAAGGCAATCACTTGTGCACCTCTTCCTGCAGTACCTAGTTCCTCCTTGTTGCTGCCCATGAAAATCCCCTTTCCTCCCCAAGGTTGGTATGTTTGGCACTCAACTTCCCTTGGGTCCAACACCATTCTCTAGCGCATGTTTTAGCTGCAAGCCCACAGAGGCAGGTGTTCTTATTTATATATTTAACTACACAGCATCACCCACAGCAGAGTTCCAGCCCTGATCTCAGAGGCTGCTGTCACAGAGGTAATTTGGAACACTTGGGCAGTGAATATTTCCTCAACAACAAATGAGAAGTCGGGTGTGCATTCCCATCAAGTGTCAAAAACCACTTTCCATTTCCAAAAGAGCATATAAATTTTTGTATTTTAAACCCACTATCAAACTGCTCTCCAGTTCAGTGTGTCACCTCTGACAGGGGATAGCATAAGAGGTGGAAAAAGTACGAAGGTGGGAAATTTCTTGCGAAGTTACCTGTTCAGCTGTGGGAAGTTGATGTTTCTGGACCCTGGTGTTTGTAATGAGGAGTTTTTCCCCTAGATGAGTTACAAGAGTGGTTCCATTGGACAAGTCCTCATAAAACATTATATTGGCATTAGATAAATGGTACTCAATGTCTCTCCCAGAAAGTGTCTGCAAATTACAGCAAAATACAAGAGTGTTAATGGATCTCATTAATTCTCTAACCGCCTGTGACCTTTTTCCCTCTCTTCTAGTAATGCTGCAGCAAGTGCAGCAGCACTAGAGGCTCTTGGGAAACCTGGATGTGAGCAGTGGGACCTTCTGTCCCTGCTGGCCTCTGATAGCTGCATACAGCAGGCAGTCCCTTAATTCCACTGGGACAAAGCATTTTATTCTGTTGAATGATGGCCTGATGAGTCTCAGAAATATTCCAAACAGCTTGAAGATGTAACCCAGTGCACAAACTCATTGAATTGTTTGAAGCAATGTTTGATTGAAGGAAGGAAGGAATGAAAGAAAAAAAAGGGATAAGAATAGAAATGAAGTTAGGAACAGATGCCTTTAATGTAGTTGTAGGAAATTCCAAAGCTATACACTGTTTTCTTCAAAGAGCTGTGCTTGATGTTAATAAGCAAGAACAGACTTCATCTCAGGCAGACTCCTTCATAACTGGGTAACTAAAATCCCTGATGGAAAAGTCTCTGTAGTGACTTGAACACTCGACAACCTTGCACTCCTAACCAAGGGTGGGAAATGGAAACATTGCCCTTGTTTCTTTCAGGAGCAGAGTTTACACTCTGGGGTTGCACAGCAGTCTTGCTATCTAAGATTGGGTTTTTTAAAACTTAAATTTCACTGGGCTGCAGAACCCCATAATGGCTGCGTAAAAAGTGTTTATAAAACTAGGAAGGAAAAAACCTCAAACTACCCCTGACCTCATTCTCCTTGAACCCGCTGTCGTTCGGAGCAAAGAGAGTGCCACGTGCTGAGAGGTCTGTGAGGTACCGCAGGAACTCCCTTCCCCTCCTGGAGCTGTTGGAGTAAGCCATGATGTCCTATGCAGAAATGAAATCCAGCTTTACTAAAAAGCAATTTTATGCTCCTGTGTGGGGAGCAGAAGAGATGAGACCACATAAATAATGACAAAAGAACTTCTTGTTATTAGCCATGAAGTGCAGTGACATTGCAAAGGAGTTTTTATTCAAACTGCAGCTTTAGCTGCTGATATGATGAGCATATCTGAAAGTGAATAGAAGGATTTTATAGAATTTTAGGGATTGGAATGGACCTTACAGATCATCTAGTCCCAACCCCCTGCCCTGAGCAGGGACACCTCCCACCAGAGCAGGTTGCTCAAGGCTTCATCCAGCTTGGCTTTGAACAATGCCAGGGTTGGGGCAGCCACAGCATCCCTGGGCAACCTGTGCCAGTGTCTCACCACTCTCACAGGGAAAAACGTCTTCCTAATATCTAACCTAAATTTCCCTCTTTCAATTTGTCCCCATTGGCCTTTGTCCTGTCACTGCAGCTCCTAACACAGATTTCCTCTTCAGGTTCCCTGAAGCTCCTTCAGCTCCTGGAAGGTGCTCTGAGGTCTCCACATAACCTTCTTTTCTCCAGGCTGAGCAGCCTCAACTTCCTCAGCCTCAGCATCAGGGGAGATGCTCCAGTCCTCTTATGAACCTCATGGCCTCCTCTGGACTTCATTTGGGCCCTTGTTGCCTCTGAGGCTGTTTATACATGTAATGCCTTTCCAAGTAGCAGCAAGGAAAGGACCACTTTAGTGTTTTGCCTTTCCCCAGTAACAATTCAATAAAGCACCAAAGCTACCCATGATGCTTGAAAAGCAGGACTATCTGTGCAAAGAATCTCCTTTAAGCTAAAGCTGCACCAGCATTTTAATTCCAAATGAATTTTAGAAACCTGAAACCTCTTTGGAGCAAGTAATGAAAAAAACCAGTAAGCAAGTTCTGATTTTGATGGTGCAGATTATCCCACTTTGCCTTGTTTCACCCATGTGTTGTGGTTAGCTGTGTTTGCTGTGCTGGTAAAACAAACACTGAGGTCCAACCCACAGAGCCTGCTTGACTCTGTGTCCCCAGCTGAGCAGAGAACCAGTCACGAGCCATACCGACAAGAAGTTTGTCAGTGTTGGGAAGGACATCAGCACTTGCAGCAAGTTCCCACTGCAGGAGAAGCCATCCCCCACGTAGCCTGGCTTGCAGGTGCAGTTCACCTCTGAAAGGTACAAACACGGATAGCTGTATGGGTAAATGCTCTTCCTGAGAAGGCTTTAGGCTGCTCTGTGCCTGGAAATCAACTTGCAGGAAATAGATTAGTGGGTTTTTTTTAAAGTTAAAAAGAGGCAGTCTCTTGCAGTGTTACCTAGCAGCCCATAACTAAAGGAACCAAAATCCAGGCTGCTGCTCCCCTTTCTTTCTCTGCTGCTCCTACCCTGCAGAGGGACCCTCTTACCTTTTTCTCTGTAGCAGAAAACATCCCAGGTTTCACTCAGATTGACTCTTCTCCCATAGTCCACAATGCCGACGTATCCAGAGCCACAGTTTGGGGAGGAGAAGCCGGTTGGGTAGCCCACTCTTTCTCCATCTAGCCAGCCAGCAGCACACAGGTGGTACCTTGCCTGTGGTCAACACAGCCATAAGGGAATAAAACCAGGGGAAGTGGTGGGGACAGGGCAATGAGTGAAATGAGCAATCCCCCCCCATGGAGCTCAGGCAGCACCTGCCCTGCCAGGACTCTCTCTGTGAGTCTGAGGAGCCTCTGTCCACCCATCTGTCCTGCAGCCTGTCCAGTGCTGAGCTCAGACTGGGACCCTTCTGAAAGTCACCGTCTCCCTGTACACACCAATAGAGCCTTGCCTGGAAAAGCTTCCCTGAGCACAAAGCTGGGCGAATACCGCAGGTGAGCGTGGAAGCTAAAAGTGATGTGCAATTCCATTGTGTGCCAGGTCACCTTTTGGCAGTGTGGGAAAGGCTGACAAACCAGCTCAACACAGAAGGTGAGTCACCAGGAGGGCTGGAGCCAACCCCATTGCTGATTTTGCTGCTTCAAGGGGCACAGGGAACCTGCAGCTCTGGCTGCAATCAGGAGCTCCTTGGGCAGCATCAAGAGTTCTGTGTGCTGGCTGTGGTCCAGCCTCACACCTTGCTAAAGGTGTCTCTAAATGGTGAGTGTTTTCTTTCATCCACAGGTGGCAAGAAGCCAGAAAGAGTCAGTCAGTCTGACCCACTCCTCTAGCACAAGTTTTACACGACCAGGACGTGATTCTCACCCCACTGGCATCAGCCATGTGTTGTCTGTAACACACTCAAGGAAAAGGATATGGAAATGGGTTGCTAACAGTATTTGGGGAAAAGGTTTCTGGAGACTTACTTGAAAGAAATAAATGAATCTAAACATAATTCTGACATGTGCATTTCTTTAAGAGGTGCTAATAAGTAAATCCCCTATGAAAATACTCTGAAAGTCTGACTCCATCACTCACTCCAATGTCACTGGAAACAAGAACTTGGCAAGTGGTTTTTGGGCTGTATGAGCAGGCATGAAACCAATAAAGAGTCTGAAAACTGCTCCCAGCCAAACATCCCCTGGGGCATGGGGGAGGAAAGGAGTGAAAATGAAGCACAGAGCAGCTCCCTTGCTTCTCTGTCTGCATTTATGCTGTGCCTAAGCCCACTCTGGGGATCTCCTCCTGCAGAGAGTCTACCTCACCTTCTGTGCGTACAGCAGCTGGTTGTAGGTAGCAATGGTGGCTGACTCATTGGCACAGGCCTCCTTTGCCTTCTCATAAGTCATTTTGTACTGTCCTTGTGGGGATCTCAAGTGGAAAACGCCAACTGTGGTATCTGCAAAGAGAGAGAAGCAGCTCTTCTTGAAGGGATGTCTGTGTTTGGATGCAGTGAGCTGTGCCATACAAGACCCTGACAGGCTTGAGAGGTGGGCCAATGCAAACCTCACGAAGTTTAACAAAATGAAGTGCAAGGTCTGGGCCGTGACAATCCCAGGCACAGCTACAGGTTGGTTGGGGAAGTAATTGAAACCAGCAGTGGGGAGAAAGACTTGGGAGTGACAGTGGATGAGAAGCTCCCCATGAGCAGCAGTGTGAGCTCAGCCCAGAAAGCCAATGGAATCCTGGGCTGCATCCAAAGGAGTGTGGGCAGCAGGTCAAAAGAGGTGATTCATCCCCTCTACTTTGCTCTTCTGAGACTCCACCTGGAACACTGCGTGCAGTTCTGGTGTCCTCAACATAAGAAGGACATGGAACTGTTGGAGCAAGTCCAGAGGAGGCCACAAAGTTGATCAGAGGACTGGAGCACCTCCCCTAAGAGGACAGGCTGAGGAAGTTTGGGCTGTTCAGCCTGTGGAAGACCGTGTGGAGAGCTCAGAGCAACTTTTCAATATTTGAAGGGCCTACAAAGAGCTGGAGAGGGACTCTGTGTTAGGAACTGTGATGACAGGACAAGGGGTAATGGGTTCAAACTGAAGGATGGAAAGTCTAGGTTGGATGTGAGAAAAAAGGTTTTTACTCTAAGGGTGGTGAGACACTGGCACAGGTTGCCTAGGGATGTGGTGACTGCCCTGACTCTGTTGGTGTTCAAGGCCAGACTGGATGAAGCCTTGAGCAACCTGATCTAGTGAGGAGGTGTCCCTGCCCAGGGCAGGGGTTTGGTACTAGCTGATCTGTAAGGTCCATTCCAACCCTTGAATTCTATGATTCTATGAAATAGCCATGAGTGTTACAAAATGTCCTTAGAACTGGTTGATCCTTTAGGAGTAACGTTCCTACCTGGAATGCCCTCCACTGTTGCCTTATAAATCTGGTGTTTCAAGGTATGTAAGCACACGTTCAAACTGCAATTTTATTGTTCCAAGGGATCATAGGTAGAAGGCTGAGTGAGCTTACAGATCCACTGGCCTCAGTGCAGTGGCACAGGGATGATGGTGTGCATGGACTGCCATCCTCACCTTGGAAGTGGAGGTCAGCACAGTCAGCATCTGGGTGGCACTGTCCGTTGTCTTGCAAGCAGCGATCAAGGGGAAGCTGCATCACAGAGCAGTTCAGCCCATCACCAATGTAGTTCTTTTTACATTCACACTTGCGTTTATCCTGGTCAGGGAGAGGATGAAAGAGGCAAAACCAAGCACTTAGCTGACATAAAACTGGTATTTCAAGCCACATTCTAAACTGATGGTAAAAATTCACTTGAGACAAGTGGCGATGGACCCAGGAAAGTTGCTACAACTAAGTGAAACATTCATACACATACTTGGGTGCTTTGCTGAATTAACATCAAAGCATAATTTTGTCCACAAAGCTAACGACTGGAGAGTTATATGACATATAATTTACTAAAAATGGATGGAAAACGTATCAAAATTCTATTTAAATGACTGGGCATGGAAGCATGAAAGAAATTTAACAGTCCAAGGAGCCCTATAAACCAAACAGGAACTGGTATCACCCAGGGATTTTGGTGGTTACAGCCCAGACAGGCTTTTCTAGATCACTTCTGGAAGGCACATCAGGCAAGACAGCAAAATGGAATGGACTGGTGATCCCAAAAGCACTAGGACAAATGCTAGATCAAGTCATTGGCACAAGTTTTCCTTAACCACATTGACCATGCAGGCCATGAAATTTGTATCATGTGGCTGCAGAGCTTTTAAGCTGAGTCACACCGACCAAGTGACACTATTATCCCAGCTGTCCCTGTGTTTACCTTCCAAAATGTATTTAGTTTTGCTCCAACAAACTCCCATTGCAAATAAGGGCATCTAGCTGGGAAGAGCTAAGAAGGGGACAGAAACATTATGTCTGCAAATTTATCCCATCTGCTGCACTACCCAATTCCCCAGAACAAAGCTGCCAAACTGTTTCTCACCCTTCAGCTGAAAGGAGACCAAACTGATGTGGAAAGTAGATAGAGCTAAGTAAAGGTTGTTTTGGAAAACAGGGATTTAGAGAGGTACAGAGTGTGATCCAGCCAGGGGAATGACTCCTGCTGGCACGAGGGAGAAACACCTCAGACTTCTCTGCTGGGAACTGAAATCATTCAACTTACAGGTCCTATGACAGTGCAAATGGCATGCTCGTGGCAGCCTCCATTGAACCCATCAGCACAAGGATTTCTTGGAAGGCATGTAAACCCATCTCCCTTGTATCCTTTCTGGCAGCTGCAGAGGACTTTCACCCCCAGCTGTGTGCACTCCGCTGCCTTGTGGCACCCACCGTTGTTTTGTTTGCAAAGATCTGCAGCTGTGTGGGGAAAAGAAAACAGGTGAGTAAGGCCTGCTTTTAAAGAGGATGTGCTTCATAAAGACAAACCATCTCCAGTTCTTTCAAGGTGCACTAAGAATTCTAGAATACGTGTTTGGGGAAAAAAAAGCTGTTTCCATTTCCTGAGGCATTACTGGATCTCTGTGAAGGCTATGCTTTAGTATTCTGAAGACCTTGTCAGGATGTTCTTGATTAGAATCATAGAATCAATTGGATTGGAAAAGACCTCAAAGATCATCGAGTCCAACCCTAAAGGAGACATGGCATCACCCTGCAGGCTTCTGCCCAGGTTGACTTTGGAAGATGCAAGACACCTGGCTGAGAAAGAACAACTGTTTCTGCAGCAACGCTAGTGGGGAACTGTCTTGCCTAAAGTCATCAAAGAAAATCATAGATTCATTTAGTTTGGAAAAGACCTTTGAGATCATTAAGTCCAGACATAAGTCCTGTAAGGGAAACCCTGCTTTAAAACCCTGATTGAAGTGCACTTCTTGCTCATACTCCTGCTGGTTAAAGCCTGGAGAAGTCAATCTCCTGATTTTGGAAATCTATTCTCTACATATCCTAAATTTGCTTCACATGCTGCACTGTGGAAGTTTTTAGGTTTGCTAGGCAACATTTGATACTGGACAGTAACTGCTTGCGCATGAGCAAGAGGGAAAAACCTTCTTTGTTGCTGTGAGTGGGAAAGGGAGCTCACCTGTGCACGTGATCCCATCCCCGTTGTACAATGGCTTGCACTGGCACGTGCTGTTCTCTGTGCACACAGCGTGGGCAGAGCAGCTTGGGGAACACACTGGCGGCAGAGCTGCAGGGAAGGCAGAACTGCTGGAATGAGAGAGCTCTTTGTATTGCAATGCCCTTGTTTCCTGCAGAAGGAGAAGCTCGCATACCAGTCTTGCTAACTGGAAAACCTGTAAGAGTATATTTTTTTTTTTGGACTGCTTAGCTGTCGGGTGAGACCTTCATGCAACCCAAAGCCTATTCACAGGGGAGGGAGAAACTCCTATTCCCACATCACAAATGAGGAGACAGTGGGGTGAATGGACTTGTTCTCAGTGCAGAGATGAGTCCCTTAGAGCTCTTTGATGGCTCCTGACATGTTTTAACCCTTTCTCTCTCTTATCTGTGGAAACCCTTTGCTGAATTGTAAGTGCTTTCAACAAGTAGCTCCATGGGACAGTATCTGGCGAGAGGAGGCAGAGACCTAGCTTGGTTTCACACAGCCTGCCAGTCCATCCTGTTTCACAGAAACATCGTCCCGTCCCTGAATGTCCTTCATCACACTGCCCGTTGTTCTTGCATTCGCAGGCTGGAAAAGAAACACAGAGACAACACCTGCAAAGCTGCTGTTGGGAAAGGGGAAATTTTTCTTAAGAGAAAAATCACCCAGACTGTCAGTTTAGATACAGTATTATCCAGCAATAATTTTGATGAGTCTAACCAGGTTTTTTCACCATGAGGCCAGTCAAGCAGAGGACCAGACTTTCTAGAGTGGCTGAGCAATCTCCTTGGAGGTTTTTTGCAAATCCCAACAGGATAAATTCTGAACAACATGAGCTCAGGACTGACCCTGCTCTGAGAAGGCTGTTGGGCTAGAGACCGTCTGAAACCCCTTCCAATCTGAATTATCCTGTGGTCCTATTATTGATAACTGGCATTAGTGCAATGTGCCTCTGAAAACGAGTGTTGATCTGCACTGTTTATATTATGGTATGCTATAAAATGGATAAATTGCAGGTATATATAATCCTGAACATTGGTGTCCAAGTCTGTTGTCTTGCCTACACCCCAAGAATATCTAGCCTATAACCCTCCATCTTATGTGCCTCAGGACCAGTACGTGTGCAGAGGGTTAGGAGGGAAGGGTTAATGTTTGGAGTTTATCTGAAGGCTTTATGTCAGGAAAACCTTTAAGTTTAGAGGGTGATATTGATCCTGATTCCACCTAGTTTACATTTAATACCACAGGGAAGGGGATTATGTGAGCAGTTGCTTGGTTGTCTCTCTTCACACACTGCCTTCCTCTCAATGTCCTCTTTCTTCTCTGCAGAATTAGTGCATGGCCTTGGCCTCCTGCAATCCTTGAGGAACCACATTGCTAAAATGCAGTCTTAAGCTTTAGAGGGATAGGGGAGAAGTTTGTGCTGTAGTTAAAAACACTTGTTGCTGGAAGTTCTGCCTCTAAGAGTAGGAGGTGTTGTGCAGAGACAGCTGCAGCAGCTTGTGCCTCCTCCCATACCTTCTCCTCCTCCCTTCTGGGACCTTGTGCCATCCCTCCATGTGAGGAGGCACACAGAAAAATTTTGGTGCACGTGGGAAGCATCTCTTGGCTTACTCAAACTCATGGCTGCCAAAATAGTTTAGTCTTGACATGGGCATCAATATGGAAAGGAAGCTCAAACGTACGACGGCAGCTGAAGCCATATCTGCCTGGCAAACACAGCTCACACGCAGTCCCATTGAAGCCACTGTGGCACTGGCACTCTCCTGTCCCGGTGTATCCCTCGTCACAGGAGCCGTGGTTATTGCATGGAGTCTCTGAGCCCCCTGGGCAAGCTGAAAGGTTTAAAAACAAGATTAAAAGGCTCTTTAGCTCAAGTGCATGTTTATTCATTGTCAGTGTTGCTTATTTACTGTTCTGTAAAAACCACTGAACAGGGAAGTGCCTCTAAATGCACCTCTGCTGAGGCGTGTTAAAGTGTCTGTGACACTTGTGACTACTGCAAAGCCATGTGATCTAAATTCCTTGACACACTTTTACAGCTCCTGTCAGAAAGGTGTTGCAGACCCTTCCAGCCCTGAGTTGTGGTTGCTGTTACCTGTCTGCTTGCTCATTCAGACACCTCTATGAGTGGCACTGCCCAGACTCTGCCCAAATTGAGCCTTTGCTTGTGCATCTCTTAGTGCCTACATACAGTCCTGGTGAGCCCAAAAGGAGGCTCAGGCTGAGCTGGGATTTGCATGTGTTTTTCTGTGAAACTGGGACAGAGCAAGCTGGCAGGGCTATGTGTCAGTGGACCTGTCTGCCAGTAGAGATCCTGATCTGGATCCTGACCTGGGTCCTGACCCTATGTGCCTCAGTACTGTTCCCTTACAAGGGCTGACAGGTGAACAAGCCGTTTGTTAGTGTCTGCTAAAACCCAGCAGAGATAAAGCCTCCCAAACTGTCTCACACCTCTTCAGAACTACTTTTTCTGAGCTTACTTTGCTGGTGTGTGAACTTGCAAGTGGCTGAGCAATCATGTACTGTGTCTCAGGTCTGTGCTTATCGTGTCCCTGTGGTGAACCTGATGTCTGTCTGTGTTTAAAGGACTCTCAGCTGGTGACCAATTTTGACTCATTAGGGTTGTTTAGGGCAGGACAAGCTCAACTCTCTACAGCATTCTCTTTGCTGCTACCATGGAGTTTAGAACTTGCTGCAAATGTGTAGAAGAGATTTGGAGTGGAAAAGCAAACATTTTCCTTGATCTTCAGCTCTTGCAACCAAGTTGCCCTATCTTGCAGCTGGTCCCTCCTCATGCCCCTTATCCCAGTTCTCCCAGTTCAGCCTGGTGGGCACTGCACAGCTGTACTGGGGGAGGCCACAGACCAGCAGTGTGGGAGGGAATCCTACCTTGGCAGTCTGGCCCGAAGTAGCCTTTGCAGCACTTGGCTGTGTGGATGACCATGGAGCAGTTCCTACGGCAACCATCCCTCCTCAGCCCGTAGGACTCATAGGTGCACCCATGGATTCCTTCCTGGGGATCACATGTGCCAGCACAGAGAGGAGAGTGGGGGAAAACACAGGAAGATGAATGCTGTGTAGGCTTGGATTTTTTGACTCTTTAAATCACAGATTCTGGTGTACATTGAATCAAAATGTGATGTGTGAAGAGTGTGGGTGCAAGACCTTCCCCATCTCTTTGATCCCTGAGATTCTAAGCACCATTAAGGAGAGTGGAGTTGCTGCTTTGAAGTCTATCAAAGCACTTGCTACAGTGGATGCTGTGCAAGACCAATAATCATCCCCCACCACCAGCACCTGGGTGTTTGCCCAGGGACAGCTTTGTACTTGAGGATTTATGGCATCACTTAACAGTGCCAAGGTTTCTCTTCATACTTATTCCAAGAAACTTTTACTAGTTTGCTTGTGTGAAGTGCAGAGAAGAGCAGGTTAGACTGCTTAGGTGAAAGATTTGAATGTATTACCTTTGGTTTTGTCCCTGGAGGGCATTTGGAGGTACTCAAACAGCTAACACAAAGCCCCTGTGGTACAAAATGGAAAAGAAAAAGAAAGTATATTAAAATATAGGCTACAAAAGGCTATTTGACATGGGCAAAATGTCTGTTTTATGAGAACAGCAAATACGAGCAGAGGTAAGGTTTACTAGAGAAAGATTTGAAAAGCTCTGGAGAAACAAGGGAGGAGAATGACAGCAAAAATGTTGCAATAATTTAGTGCCTCAAAATATAAGAAAACCATTTTGATACCAGAATATAAGTTCTGGAAGAAGAAACATTTTGCTCTGGATTTAAAGAAGCAGAGAAGAGGTGGTGAATATTCTTCCAACAAGTTTTGGCATGGAATGCATCAGGTCTGGATGTCTAATTTGGAGGAAAGATAAGTGTTTACTTCTCAGAAAGTGCTGACCAGATCTGAGGAAATTATATCTGTTTAATTTCGTTTAATAAAACCAGGAAAGAAAAAGTAACTTGAGCAGATGGTACAACTGTTGGTTTTATAACTGGAATATATATTCCAATAAGCATTTCCTAAGACTGACTACATGGATTATTTTTCACTTCTAGCTAATTTTTTTCATACATCCAAATTGAACTGAAGTAAATTTGGTCTTGAAACCATTTAAAAATGGCTTTGATTTATGGGACCCATCCAAGTTTACAGAGGAAACTTCCTCCACATTAACGATGTCTGTTCAGGTGTGTTAAGGGATATTCCTGTGAAAGCAAGCAATGTCAGAGACAAAGACAGACTAGTTCTCTATCTTGTGTCCTTCATACTCTGTACCACCAGGGTAGCAATTCTGTTTCTTTGTAATAGGGAACTCTGTAAATGCAAATCCATAGTGTGAACTTCTACTCATTCAAAAGCATGAGAGAAAGATTTCAGCAAGTTTGCGGATGACACAAAGTTGGGGGGGGAGTGTCAATCTGCTGGAAGGCAGGAGGGCTCTGCAGAGGGACCTGGATAGGCTGTAGAGATGGGCTGATTCCAATGGGATGAGGTTTAACAAGGCCAAGTGAGGTCCTGCACTTTGGCCAAAACAGCACTCCAGACTGGGGACAGAGTGGCTGGAGAGCAGCCAGGCAGAAAGGGACCTGGGAGTTTGGAGAGACAGAAAGCTGAACAGGAGCCAGCAGTGTGCTCAGGTGGCCAAGAAGGCCAATGGCATCCTGGCCTGGATCAGGAACAGCATGGTCAGCAGGACCAGGGAAGTGATTCTGTCTTTGTACTCGGTGTTGGTGAGGCCACACCTTGAATCCTGTGCTCAGTTCTGGGCCCCTC